TTTTTACCATTGCCTTCCTGGTTTTGTCTCTGTAGGTTCTTGCAATTTTCTAGTGTGTTTCCTTGGTGACTTGCCCACTTTCCCATTGTGCTTCTTCTTGTGCTTCTATCATGTCAGGACAATTTCTTGTTGGGCTTTCAAAACTGTGCTCTTTAGAAGCTCCCAGCCCTCCTAGATATCTTTATCCTTCAGTCTGTCTTCCCATGCTCTGTTTCTTGCTTTCCTCATCCATGGATATGGAAATCTATCATATCATGTTCGCTTCCTCCCAAGTTTCCCATCACCTTCACACTTTCCACCAGTTCTTCCCTCTTGGTCAAGACAAGATCCAAGATTGATGGTGCTCTAGTTTTATCCTCAACCTTCTGGAACAGAAAGTTGTTGTCCACACAAGTTAGGAACTGGCTCAACATTTTATGTTTGGCTGTATTGTTTTTCTAGGGGATGTCCTGAGAACTGAACTGTATTCATGGTAAACCTGTTCTACCCTCCAAACTGTGTTGACCCTGAGTGGAAATTTACTGATACTGAAGCTGCAACTTACATATTGCAATACTAGAACAATTTGGGACTCTAAGTTTCTTTTAAATGGAGTTCAGTTATACCTGAGTTTACTCTCCTGAGAATCCATGGAGTTGGATTGTAAAAGTCAACTTTTCTAGTGACTGAGGAAGTCAAATTTTCTTTTCTTGTCCAGTTATAGCATTGTAGAATACTGAACATATGAATTTTTCAATGATCAGTTAGCTGTCATATAATATCTGCATATACTGAAGAAAAAAATCCTAAATTGGCAGAAAGCCACAATTCGAAACATAATGTTCATTCTTATTTTTGTACACAATGAACAAGTGTTTTGTGAAATCATTTATTTTAAGCAAATATCGGGAAAAGAAAACATTAAATGATAGAACACATTTTGGCTTCTTGTTAGGATAATACTCTTAAAAATGACCAAGAGATGGCACTGTTGTCATGCAGCTCAAGTATAATTTATGTGTATGTGAATTATTCTTATGTGGTAGTTTATTGTGACACCTATTATCTTAACTTTATTGTACTGCTTACTAGTAAAATGAATTTAATTGAATGATTACTAATGCAAGGTTCTTTTTTTAGAAGTGAAACATTTTCAATAACACATATTGTCAATCCACACAATATGCTTTATGTTGAAGAGAAACTCTCTGTCAAAAGGTTAAAATAATCATAATGACCCAGTGTTTATTAAGGTTATAAAGTTCCACAATGTATTCTCCCACTGCGTCTGAATCTAAGAAAACATATTAATATATTTTTAATCTCCAGCAGACATGGTTCTGTGAGAATTTACAAGCAGCCCAAAATAATTACTTAAGACAAACTTCCAGTGTATAAAAGAACTGATGGCATTTGAATACTTTAATCTGCTTTACTAAGCAGTGAGTTTTAACAAACCAGGAAGCCATTAGAATATAATTTTAAGTTTTACAAAATACAACAAACATTCCTCTGGGTATATTTACATAAATATAAGTATTCAAAATAGAATGCATCTTACTATTAGGCAATAATTACACACGCAAAGTTCATGATTGGCCGCATGGGGTAGATATGGTGGGATTTTTTCCCCTGATATATGCAGAAATGTGTACAGAATCCATAAACTAAGCAAACAGAGTATAACAATGACTTCATATTCTGGCACTTTCAGATACTGTTTAAATGTTACTAAACAGTAACATACTTGAAAAATTACTGATAAACGTATTTGTCAATCAAACAGTTCGTGATCCAGGATGTATGCCAGAAAGACTTATCAAATCAGACAGAGCAGGTACAGGAATTTGGCTCCCTTATATGTCAAGGGAGTGTTCAAACCACTGAGCTCAGTAGCATAACCAAGGGTAGGGTTACTGGGACAGAAGCCCTGGTGGTCACCACCTTAGTTGGGGGTGGGGAGAGGAGTGTTTTGGGAGTTGGAGGGTAAAAATATAGCTGCAACTGCAGTGACTGCTGACTGTGATCAGCATTGTACCAGCTAGTGCTGCCTGGCCATATCTCTGACTGAGCTACTTGCTATTCTGTAGGGAGGTTCTTTTTTATTTTTTAAATTTTTTTGCATAAATAAAATTTAAATGGTCTCATCTTCATTCTGATGCAGAATGAAAACAAATTTCAAAATCTTTTAATTAAAGGAAGTTGTTTTCCAGCCAGCCTTACAAAACAGTGCTGGTGTTTCAGGTTCAGTGGTGATTAGATAGCAATAGCCTGCTATAAATTCTAGTCTTGAAGTTGGTGAACCCTGATATAAGTCAACAATATAATAAATCTCTTAGATGATACCTATTTGTTTATGATCTCCCAGATCCTGTAGGTATTGAAAGCTCTGGCTCTGATGCTGTAGCCCTTAATAAAGTAACACTCGCTAAAGTCTACAAAAGTCTTGGTGGAGTAAGGCTGCAGGATCAGGCTCCATAACAATGAAGTGCTCAAAGATATTTATGAAGAGACAGAAACATTATCCATTATCTTTGTTTTTAGACACTTTGTGGGCAAAAGCTGCTGATCACTCATCAAACCAACTATGTGAGAGCTAATGATATTAAAAATCAAGTATCATATATCCCTGTCTTGTACACTTCTTCCAACTGAAAGGTAAGTGCTCTATTATGTACAAAAAATAATTAAAAGGACAGAGTCAGGTCATGTAGGTCCAAAATGTAGGCTTTCTGATCAGTTTTAAAGATCTAATATTAATAGTCAATCTTTAATTGCATTTAAAACAATCAATTAAAACATTTTTTTGCATGGAAACATTCTCCTTCAATCTGAGCAATGTGACATTGCTCTAGTCCTTGAGACAGAAAATGAAATGAACTGAAAATGAGTTGAGCTAGCTGAGAGAAACACAGACAGTAAACAAACAACACAAATGGTGGAAATCCACCTATTAGGTGTCTAAGGGTGCAACCAGACATTGCTTTTGTGCCTCTGTAAAAATTTTTATGATGGCACAAGTTGCAAGGAGACAGACATCCAAGCCCACTGTCATGTTCCAAGTGCCCAAAATGTTGCCGTGACTAAAGGCAGTCACAGTTTGTGATGTCTTAAATATGAGGATGCCTATTTTCTTATTGTGCTCCACAGGAATTCCCTTGCATATCAGGTTGCCAGCCCTGCCCCTTGACTTCGGGTGTGGATCTGTAAGCAGGGGAAACCCTCATGTTCCTTTGCTTACTTATCTGCAGGGTATGGTCTAGCCGTTCTCAAAGCCTCTCTATAAAATCACGCATTGCATAAAGGAAGAATCACTGAATAGCCCAGTAGTTAGAACATACACCAAGGATATGGGGAATTGGGGTTGAACTCTACCCTCTGTCTTTGACTCAAAATTTTCTACCACCTCAAAAAATACCCTATTATTTCTCAGTTCTTCCTGTTGAAGCTATTCTATTTGCATGGAGTAATTAAGTTACTTTGCATTCAGTATTTAAATGTTTATTTTGAAAGAATGAACATGAATCTTGGGCCTGAGGGAGAGAGAATGAATATGACTCTACCAGAGGCCTATTCATTCATTTTCTTTCCATGGCCCAATGAATGTTTTGTAATTTCATGCAAAATGGAACATGTACCACAGGAGGGACTGAGAGAGTTGCAAATATGTTAGAGTTTCATCATAACTTTTAACTTTTACTAGTGTTTTTTGTCAGAGTTGGTAGGCTCTAGAGCTACACTGCATCTTATTTTTTATGTATCCATTTGCAAATTTTGTGTAAGCCCCAACAATCAGTTGTAGCCCTGTTGATGAGTGTAATTGCTACATTTCTATCTCTGCACAAGGTCCAATTGGCTTCACAGAAACAACATGCTATTCCTGCTAGCAAACATTTGTATAATTAAATAGATCAAAACAATAAAAAATATCTGATGCTCTTTACCTCAGCAAAGTATCTTCCCATTAAATTTTTGTAGGTGGAAACTTATGCCATTTAGACAATACCCTTATTTTCAAATGAACTTTTTAAGAGTACAGCAATCCAACTGTTTGTACATAGACTAATAATGCAAGCATCCCAGGATTTATGACCAGTGCTGCAACAGCGATGGAGGAAGACAGTGAGGAGTGATGGAGGAAACCAACTTCTAATAAAGAAAATATTTTCATCTTCTATTTATTCTTAGTTTACAAACATGAGAACAAAACAAGTGAAACACCTTAATAATGCCCCTCCTAATCAAACAGAAATGGGGAAAGATTAAAGCTCTTTACTGCAGGCTTTGTTCACACAAAACTCCTATTGAAGTTAATTAAATTTGAAATCCAGTGGAGCTGTTCAAAGAAATGCCCACAGGATCATGCCTGAAATTATTTAGCAACATTGGATCTGATTTTCCATGATGTTGCCTCACTTATTCTACTGTAAAGCAAGTGGACTGGAATGGAGAATCAAGCCCAAATACATGAAATAGTACATTTTAAATTCTTAGGTAATACAGGTAAGACAGGGTGGGAAAAATATGAGTGAGAAAACAGATTAATAATGGTCATGGTGACAAAGGAACATTCAAGTATAATTTACTTTTGCCGATAATGAACTACAAAGCAAACGGCAGAAAGCCCAATAACATTTCAGAAAGGTAATTGGGAAGGAAAAGGAACCATAAAAACACTGTTACCAAAATTTCTATATAATAGATCTATACAGCTTTTATATAATTTTCTTTTTTTTAATTGTATTTTAAATATACATCAGTAAATTAACTAACATTTTCTGTAAAATCTCATAAAGTGCTCATTTAGTTAATGCTAATAAAATTTCATTGTAGCAAGACAAACTAATTCAAACTTAATCTGCAAGTAAACCAAAGAATAGCTCAGCTCACATTTGGAAAAAAAAGTAATGCATGGATTTCTTCACAGCCCATGTTATAATACAATAAACTGCATTTTTTCTTTAAGAAATATATTATATAGAATATTTAAAAAAATAAGTTTAATAAAGCCTGTGCTTAAAACAGCTGATGTACTGTATGAAAAAATTGCACATTTGATAGCATTTTAACCCTGCTTTTCACCAACCAGACAATATGAGGAGTATGTGATATTAATGACGACTTTCTTAGCCAGGGCTAATTTTCCTAAGCTATCAAAGCTTCTCACAGTTAGGTGAAATTTTCTGAGTATACACCGTGGTTGCCATGGCAGCTGTTGATGAGCTAGCATAGTCACACACAGCTAACCTCGTTCACTGGGTTGATACTGCCCTTTGAGGTACTGTCTAAATGATGTATTCCTATTGTAACCATAGAATAGTCTTTGGCCATCATTTTAGCCTCTTTTTTCAAGCTCTTCATTTGTGCCAGCTGGAGTTGGCTGGAATTATAAGCTAAAGCTGGTATAGTGTTCACTAAGATCAGCTGCAAAGGCTTCTTCTCTTCCTTGTATCGACACTGAATATAACGTGAGAAAGCTGAACGATAAGTTTTGTTGAACAGTGTGTATACTAGGGGATTGACAGCTGAAGAAAGGTAGCCAATCCAGACAAATACATTCAGTAGCCCTCCAATGACTTCTTCATTACATGACTTCTTGCAAATGACTGCCATCACATTAGTGATGAAAAATGGGCACCACATCACAACAAACAGAAAGAAGACAATGCCGAGTACCTTGGAAGCTTTCTGCTCATTACTGATGGACTGCATAGTTCTCCTTCCAGAAGTCCCCAGCTCTCGGTTCAAAGAACGCTGAAAAAGTTTCTCTGAAGACAGAGAACTCTGAGGGAGAAAACTAAATGAAGCAAACTTGGTCTTTGTGCCAAGGTCTTTAACGCATAAGGTAGCTTCTTTCTGAAGTGATCTGATGGTTAAAAAGTAGGTGACCACCATGATGGTTAAAGGAATAAAGAATGCCACAAAAGAGCCAATAAGGACAAAGTTCTCATCAGCAAGTAAGCAGCTGGGTCCCTTAAGTACTTTGGTTTCATCTTGTAGTCCAAACACAGGCACTGGCATAGAGATACCTGAGGAGTCATTAGAGAAAGATAAAATTAAGCCTATTAATGATAATAAATAACACCCCCTATCCCTCCCAAAAAGGTATATACATCATTTTATGAAATATGGCCAAATATAGTGAATAGTAATGGGCATTCAGTATTATGTATGTATAGAGCTTAGGCATTCTAAAATTAATTCAAGCTACATAGGGGAAAACATGTGACATATCTGGATACCTGAGGAATGTGATGCTGATCCCATTTCTGTCTCATTGTTTGAACAGAGCTATAGGAATTACTGCAGACAAATAATGCTGTTTGCAATATATGTCTTGGAGCCTGTAGTTTATTGGAGGCAAGCTTCTGTTTGTGGTGCTATTACACTAGAAAGTTGCTGCAATAACTCTTAAGGGGCCAAGGGAGAATGGCAGGAGTGAGAGCAGGACAAGAATTCCTGAGGCAGTTGCTGCAATTTTTCTCTTACCAGCAAATACCAGTCTCCTTCAGAATTTTTCTCTTACCGGAAAATGAAATGAAGAGAAGTCTTCTTCAGGAAACCCAGCCAGAGTGTGTCACAAAATTGGGTCATATAGAAGTTGATATCAACAAAGGCAGTGATTCTAACCATTCTGGAGCTTCGGATCCCTTGTATAAGTGTAGCCCAGGTGTACCCAGGGTATGTACTCCCCTTTCTGATTGAAGACAGGGATGCTGCAGGAGAGAACTGCCAGCTGAGCAGAGTCTCTCCACTCCCTATAGAGCCAGGCTAGGACAATGTTAAACTATATACAAATGTATTAATATTTACAGGGAACCTTAAAAGATAACTGTTAATATAAAATGGATACAGATATTTACATATAATATAGGACTAATAACCTTGTTTCTCTGTGGTGGATGACCACAGCCGGGGTTCAGGTAAGTTACAAGTAAACACAGGTAAGTAATGGGGAGGGGTCCTAGCAGGACCTCAATATAGATCTTACGTTCTAATGTTAGTTTGCATACTGATATGGAGCACACAATGACAGGATATAATATCATAAAGCATAAAATACAATGTCACAAGATATAAGGTGCAATATCACCATTTATAAGGCACATAAGCATAGAAGTAACCATAAACCATTAAAAGGGTCCCCAAGGCCCCACCACAATCCTGGGGCCTGGATTACGCTTTAGTGACCTGTGAGGGAAGACCTTATTGCCCCTTGGGCCTCACACCAAGCCCCCTAGGCAGCCCACAAACTCAGAAGGGACCCTTCCTGGACCTCCTCTCCAGGAACCCCTTTCTAGCCAAGAAGAACTTCCCCTCCCCTGTGGGAACCCTGTTCCCCAGCAACTCATGAATCTGATGTCCAGGTGGGGGTCCTCATCCCCTCATGTGAGTGGGTCCTTGTTCAGAGCAGCCTCTGGAACCTCTGGCTTCTCCTGGGCCACTCCCCATTCATGGCCTCGAGCCTTCCTGGACCTCCTCTCCAGGAACCCCTTTCTAGCCAAGAAGAACTTCCCCTCCCCTGTGGGAACCCTGTTCCCCAGCAACTCATGAATCTGATGTCCAGGTGGGGGTCCTCATCCCCTCATGTGAGTGGGTCCTTGTTCAGAGCAGCCTCTGGAACCTCTGGCTTCTCCTGGGCCACTCCCCATTCATGGCCTCGAGCACCATTGCATGCTCTTGGGGCTTTGGTTTTTTGCTCAGGGTTGGAGGCCCAGACCACCTTGCACGGCTCCGGGGCTTGGTCTGCTCCCAGACCCTCTATGTAGCGGCTCCTCCACCAGGTTTTCCACTATGTGCTGGGAGATGAAACCTTGAGCTGCCACAGAGCCCCCCCACCACCCTGAGTCTTGCTGGCTCCATGCAATGGGAGCCCTGGCCACATGCCAGGGTTTGCAGACCCAAGCCTCTTGCTCCCAGGGTCTGGCTCCATGCACCGTGCTGTGCACCAAGTGGCTGGAGATCTGAGCTGTCTCACACAGCTCTCAGGGTTTCACCCTGTATGCTGCATTGTGCACCAACTGGGGCTGAAGCTGTCCAACACTCCTGTCCGGTGAGAAGCGTCCACAGGGGCTCTTCAGGGCAGCAGCATCCACCTGCTGGGCAGTTCTTCCCAGCTCTTTTTAGCCCCACCCTCATCTCCATTCCTTGACGAATCTGCCATGTGCTGGGCATGCAGCTCCTTTGATTCTCTTCGGGGACTCCACCCCCCGAAGTTCTGCCGGACCTGCAGGGTGCAGGCGTAAACCAGGTCCAGGCTCTCCGCCTTGCCCCAGGTAGGGGTGGCGCAAGCACCTCCTTGCCGTTACCCAATTGGTGGACGGACTCCACCAATCATAGTGGAGATTCTCCGAGCCCGGACGTGCTGGACTGTATCAGTAAGTCCGCCACATAAGTATTACCAAAATTGCCTTCCTCTTCTGGCAGACTGTCAAATGCTTTTATCGTTTGTAATCAATATTGCCTTCTCGCCTCTTTCCTGAGCTGCTGTAAAAAGTTAAATCTGGACTTGGGCCTTTTGCAGATGAAGATGTAGTAGCTTTTGATTAGACAGCTAAATAATAAATAATTATTTTGGGCAGGGAAGACAAATCTTTTGTAGGTTGGTAGGTATGGTCAACTGAGGCATTCTAAATGCAAAAAAAAATCAGCCCTGGCATGGAAGATAGCAGTCATCAGAGCATGGATTGACTAGGTGGACTAGAGCAAACACGACTCCAGTAGTGAGGCAGCTTGGGATTCCATTCCTCCTCTGAGCATGATAAACAACTGAGGCTCCCACAAATTAAAGCTGTTATATCCCAGCAGAACCTGCAGCAAGCCCATTAGTTCATTTCTTCTGGGACTTTTTCCATCTTTCCTAATGCGTGAGCAAAGTCAAGCATCTGTTTGTCGAAAATAGTTACTTGAGAGAAGTTTCCTTCTTCCCTCCAAAATGTGATATCCCCCACCCCACCACACAAATAACTTTACCTGTACAGAAGAGAGGATATTCTGTTCTGTGCCAGTGATAGGTATTGTCAAGAAGTTTTGTGGCATAAAGACAACCAAAATAAATCTATGAGCCAGGAAGAGGGGAGGGTGAAGGGAACTACAGGCCCAATTCCCTTGCAGTTTCAGTGAGTTTTGGACACCTAATTGCCTTAGGTATCTTACAAAGAAAAATCTAGTATTTCTGTTCTACTTTTTCATGTGGAAAACCTAAAATGAAGATTTTTTCCATTATTAAGGGAAAAATTCTCCCTTGATATGTACCTTTTGAACCCAAAGAAGGACCTCCATGGCCAGCAGGTGGTATGTTTTGTCAGCCACTCATGATAGCTTCAGTAACTATTCTGTTACCTTGCCCTCCTAATTTGGTTTCCTTCCTTACCCAGGGAAATTTGTAGAACATTCCTCACTGGAAGCTTTCAAATGTCAGCTATACAAATATTTGTCTAAGATGGTTTAGGCAGATGATCCTGCCTAGAAAAAGAAGGTTGGACCACTGATCTTTTGAGGTCCCTTCCAGCCTTATTTTTCTGTGATTTTATCTATTGCTGCTTATCTTGGGTCTAGATCAGGGATGGGCAATTATTTGGGCTGGATGGACACTTAATGAGTTTTGGTGAGCTCTTGAGGGCTACCTGCACATGAGCAGGCACACACATTCCTCCACCCAAGCTTCCCCACCCTGCACCTGGAACCTGGAGTTGGTACCTGCCAGCCACATCCACAGCTGGTGGGGGGCAGAGGATGGAGCCTGGCCGCAGGCCTCCACGCTACCCCACCATCAAGTCTCCTGGCATGTGTGTGTACATCCACCTCCTCCGCACCTCATGGGTCCCAGGAGCCTTGATAGTAGGCAGGATGGGACAGTGTGGAGGCCTGCAGCCATGTTCTATCCCCCATGGCAGGGTCTGGATGAGCCATGCTTGGGTGCTGGTGGCTGCTGGGCACCTGCCCACCAGTTGAGCAACAAGCGGCAGCTGCAGCTGGAGCCTCCAAGGCCTAAGCTCAGCTTGTTCCAAGTGGGGCTGCTTCTGCCTGCCTGCCCACCCACCACCACATGGCAGGCCCTGGATAAGCCATGCTTAGGCCCCTGCCTCTGCTGGCAGGCAGTGTAGGTGGCAGCTCTGGCTCTGGCTTCTGCTGGTGCTGCATGGTGCCAGGTGGGTGGGTGGGACTGTTTCTGCCCAGTGTCCTCCCTGTGTGGACTGAACTCCATGTCCCAGGCTGCCATGCAGTGCTGGGAGTGTGAGTGGGCAGGGCTGCTTCTGACCAGCATCTCCCACAGTGCCACAGAGCCTGAGCTGCCACCCACACCACCCGCCAGCAAAGGTGAGGGCCTGAGCACGGCTTGCCAAGGGCCTGCTGCATGATACCGCCACGTGCGCTGCCCACCCATGGGCCAGATCCATCCCATGGGCCATATTTTGCCCACCCCTAGCTTATATTTTGCAGATTTTAGGGCAGAGACACTCTCTTTATTTCATATGTATTCAGTATCTTGTGCACTGGAGTTGCAGTCCCTAACAGAGGCCCTTTGACACATCTTCAGGACAAATTCCTCATGAAGATGATGATGTTACATATATTATTTTGGGGTGTCTGTGATAACACATGAATTCTCTCTCTTCTGGTAATAGCATTATCTGCACAGCTCAAAACTGACTCTCAGGAATGACATGAACCAAGTTACAAAAAAAGCATTGCCCTTATCCGTGTAGGACAGAATTGGACAGAGAGTTTGTGGTATTGCCCTTTCTATTTTGGTTGTACTGTTGCACAAACCTAATCACTTGTATATAACATACAAAAAAACATTGTATGAAGTTCCCATGTTACGGGGCATTTTACAGTCAAAGGACCAATTTGACCAAATGCCCTTGCAGTCCCACTGAAGTGGCTGCATGTGTAGATCAGGACAAAACTGGATTTACACCTTTTCAACTTTCTGTGAGTTAGGCATCTGTTAGAATGGTATTGGGATGTTGTGTCTGAGTAATTAGGGATCCAATTGTTTGCGGTACTGAACACTTCTAGTGAG